AATAATCGTTTGTGGCGGACCTAGTATTAATGTAGCTACTTTATTATTCATCTATTTATTTGAGATGCACCAAATCACACAGACTTATTTTTACATCTGAGGGGGGTTTTTTTATCTTCGCTGGAAGAGACATTTTGATTTTTAACTTACACTTGAGTGTGTAATATAGATAAAAAACCGTTACAGTGGAAAAAAGAAGCCAGTTTCTCTTTGTTTCTTTCCATTGTGGTTTTTATCTAAATAAAAGCTTGCGTTTTTTCTGAACATCGGCTGCTGCCGTTCTTTCTTTCTGTTATGAGTTTGAGTAAATGAATTGCTGCATTTGGGCGCAGCTGGAAGACGGTGCCATTAAAACAGTGCTATTATTTTTCCGTTGACTGCTTCTCTTAACCTCACTCCACGACAGGAGTGAAGTTAACCATCTGGCTGAGTGGTGCTGCTGTGGAGAGGGTAAGCAGCACCAAGTTCCTGGGTGTGCACATCTCAGAAGATCTCTCCTGGTGAGAAAACACAGCATCACTGGTTAGCAAAGCCCAACAGTGACTTTACTTCCTCCACAAACTGAGGGGAGCGAGAGCCTCAACCCCATTATGAGCACCTTCTACAGAGGCACTGTGGGGAGCATCCTCAGCAGCTGCATCACTGTGTGGTATCCTGCACTAGTTCCTGCTGGAAACAGCTACAACAGGTAGTGAGAGCAGCGGAGAGGATCGTGGGTACTTCTCTTCCCTCCCTCCAGGACATCTGCTGCTCCTGCCTCATCCTGAAAGCTCTCTGCATTACAGAGACTCCACCCATCCATCAAACAGATTCTTCAGTTTGCTAACATCAGACTGAAGAGCCTCGAGGCCAGAACCAGCAGACTGAGAGACAGCTTCATCCATCAGGCTGTCAGGATGCTGAACTCTCACACACACCAACTCCAGACCTGCATCCACCTCTGACCACCCCCTCCCCACACTACACACAAACTCTTGGATTGTGTTGGACTCTGTTGTGTGTGTATGACACTTTTATCTGTTTTAGTGTAACACTGAGGGCTGTGGGAGCACTGCAATTTAAAATTCCCGAGTATGATCTGCACATGTGGTTTTTGACAAAAAATGACTTTGAGATTTTCAAAATGGAGGCCTTCAGTAAGTTATAAGAGATACGATAAGACTTTATTGATTCCACGGCGGGTTTTTTTGTTTTGTTTTGTTTTGTTTTTTTTGCGTTACCTCAGCTCAGGTACAGATATCAGAAGGATATTTATTTATCTTTATAAAGATACAAATAAAACACAAACAAATATAAATTAAGTAAGATAATACACTATATACAGCGGCAGCGCTTTAACGTGTCAGATTTTCTAAATAAAGGCCTCCTGGCTGTTCGCTAAAAACTGAACCTCGTACGTTTTTATTCATTTCACTTTTGAGTCGTTTGTATTTTCCACATGAGCGCGCACGCCGCAGCTGCCTCGGCCACGCTTGCAGACGTGGTGACGACATGCGCGTCGAGCGCTATGGTTTCGGTGGACAGCCAATCGGCTACATCCAAGTCACAGAGCCGTGTTTGTAGCGGAAGAGAAGATGGCGGCTGCAGCTGCGGGGAACAGAAAGAGCGGGCTGCTGGAGAAAGTGAGTAAAAGCGTGAACGGATTCTCCTGAGCAGGATGAACCCCTGCGGGGAGGGTCTGTGTCCCGGAGCTGGGAGGCCTATGTCCCCGCTGCAGCTGTTGCTCGGCTCGGTGTGTGTCTGTGTGAGCCGCCGCTAAGGGGCTAAGCTAATGCTAACGAGCTAAAGTGGATACATTCAGAATGAAAACAAAATAAAAACAAAGTTGAGTATGAAGCTGAGAGCCGAGTTTAACCTCGGCGTGGGAAATAAACCGTTATTAGAGGTCAAAGTTCAGCGGTTTGTTCTATTTCCTGCTTCCAGCTGTTAAACAGCTGCACCAAACCGGAAACAGACAGTTTAACTAAACTCACTCGTCTGTTAAACAGGTGATGTAGGAGTGCACGAGGCGTGCTTCAGAATGAAGCTTTAAGTTTCCACACATGAAACAGGTCAAACATCTGCAGCAGGTGGCGCTGCACGTGGGCACAATAACTCTTGTTCTTTTGCGGAGGGGGGGTTTAGCTTCCATCATACATGACAGGAAGATGATGTCTCCGCCCTCAACACGAACTCTCCCTGAGAAGAGTTGCAGTCGCTGCCTCCGTGTTTATGTTAGTCTGATCTTCAGATGGAAACTGTCGATTAAACGGCTGTGTTTGTGTTTCAGTGGAGGATCGACGAGAAGCCGGTGAAGATTGATAAATGGGATGGAGCGGCGGTGAAGAACTCCTTGGATGACGCTGCGAAGAAGGTTTAATTGATTATTTTTATCCACATTTTAACAGCAACTATTCAAACATGAACCGCATGTGTTACTTGTTCTTATTGAAACGTTCCAGCAGTTTACGTCCATGTTTCAGAGACATGAATGACTTTAGAGCAAGATGTTTTAAGTAAAACAGAAAAGGTTCACTCAGGTGAGAGGAGGGTGGAGAACTGCAGCTGTGTGAAGGTAAAGGTGGGAGGAGGGAATTCCTACGTTTGAAGCGACCTGAGCAGTGTTTCTTCAAGGAGCGAATTTCATTGGTCAGATTTTTGCTGATGACGTCAGATTCACACAGGGGGC